GAAGAGATGAGGTTTGAATTAGCTCCTGAAAATTATAGAAATACCTTCAAACTGGCTGGATTCTGTCAGAGATGCTGATCATGCACAGTTTTATTGACTGCAGTAGGAGTTTTTGACATTAAAAATTTGGCATTTTGGCACTGGTTACAAATCTGTAAAAATGAGGCATGAAAACAAAGATTTCCATATCCTGAATTTTGGCACCCAGGCTTGAAAATACTGGATTTACAACAGGCTTCAGCCTGCACCGAAATACCATGATTCTTAAATTGGCCTTGCTACTTCTCCTACATGGTTTTGATCAAAGGCTCGCTTAGCTGCATTTCTTATCACCTCTATTAATAGATAGTTCCAAAATTATACAGTATAAGAAGTTACATACTGGAGTTAAAACTCTTGTGGGCAACTCTGAAATGCTTATGCTCCCTATTCAAAATGCTACATTATATAAATCAAACAGTTTATTGCAGTCTATTTCTCTGTTGGTTTACTAAGAAGCTGCAGCTAACCCTGTTTAGGTCTTCACAGCAAGGGGGTTGCATCAATAGCACTTTGTTCACAGAACAAAGCTTGACATTGCAACAAACCTCACTCGATCAGTGAGGAAGTCATACATGCATATTCTTGATTAAATTAACTACAGAAACTGAGAATTACAGAATATACCAGGGCCTGCATTTGTATTTAATACGGTCTCAGTGTGTAAGCAAGTATAGATGGAACAGTTTAGCTCAAACAGAAATTCCCATTTGGAAAAATACTTGGAAGATGAGACTTGCCTAATAATGAATCCCCTTCTCTAACTATGAAAATTATCCTGTCAGCTAGCACGGCTTCTCTAACAGACAGATAAGAACCAGATGTTAAGATAAAGGCAGATATAAAGACATATTGTTACATTTTTTTCTTTGTGTCTCTATCTCCAAATCTAGTAATTAGTTCCTGAATAATTCATTCTATTAGAGGGGAAAAAACACCTCATCAACAAGTTATTTTTACTATTCCCTTAAGTTTTCAGAGTGATTTCAGGGTGGTCTAGCAAACCGTACACATCATATCCAGCTGAGCAGCAAACGTTACTCTCTGAGTGACACCTTACACATATGTTATATTTGGGGAAGAAATCTCACTTGCCAAAGAGTTAATAGAGTCTGTTGGCAAGCAGCAAGGAAGCGAGGAGAAGGCCTGAAACCTGAGATTTCCTGAAACTCAACTTATTTTGCTTTTATCAAAAACCGACAAAAGTGATAATACATGCAAAGGACTTCCACCTAAGAAATGAGAAAGATTAACAAAAAAACTATAAACCACCACCTGAGGTAGCTTCTTCATGCTTCTTCAGATACATCCTCCTTCTGTGGAATAAAAGAGGAACATATCTCACATTTTAGCATTGTCCTTGTACACAACTAAAAGAAATTCAGCCTATTCTTGGAGCGTATGGCTGTCTTAACAGGAGCTTTGAGATTCAGCGTTTCAGTTCTGTCACAATAATCTGAATGGTCCTGAGACAAGATGAAAGGACTCAGGTATGCTTCTAGGTCACAGCATAAGACCAAGTTAATGGTGACAGAGGATTCAGAGAGCAGACCTAGAGGAATGGCTGCTTTGGCAAAGCAGGCAGCCACCACAGGCGTCTTCTGGAACATACCAGGCCGCTGGACTTTGCCTCACACCTGTAACAAGCCTGGATAACTGCTCTCAGTGCAGCCCTGTGTTTAGACCACAGGATGCTCGCCTAGAGCTCATCTAATCCAGGCCCAACTCCTCTAGCTATCTGTAATCATATGATTTACCCCTGATATTTGCATTAAGCAACAAGCGGTCAGGTACACCTCCATAGCATGTTCTCATAACAGCAGTCACAACTTGGCCATAGAAGCTTGCACTGTAATTCTGAAAGCCAGAAGAAAAGAAAAACAAAATGTAGCTAGGTTTCCAGAAAATGTTTCATTTAGCAACACTATAGGAATCTAGTAATTAAAATTCTGAATTCCCCTTCTCAGGTCATATATCAGTCTTTGTTTTATTAGAAGCGCTGATTGTTGTTGGTCTGGTGTTTTTTGGAGGAGGAGGAAGAACAAGATAGAAGGAAGAAGAGTTAACAATCTTTGAAAAACTAAATAAATTTATACATTTGTGGATTTAGCAGACGGACATGTAAGAGTAGTTTCAAATTATTAAGAAAGCTTATTTGGTAGGCATGACAAAAACATGTAAGTTTTGCATTTCAAAAATTATAATACCGTTCTTATGACATTTTTATAAAAAGTTGAAAACTGCCTCCCAAAGCTAAAACCTGCATTGTTTAATTGTATAAGCAGTTATTTTGCAGTCTGTATTTCTTCTCTGGCAAGGGGGAAGCAAAAGGGAGTAAGAATCTTAGTTTAGTTCTTTTTGTGAAATAGGCATTGGATTATTTTGAATCTGGTTTTGACTGATTTATAAGTATTTACTGATGAGAAATTCAGAGGAAGGGAATGGCCTGTGATAACTCCTAATCAACGTTCATTTTGGATAATAACATCATTAGAACAGGAGAACCATGGCAAAGTTAAAGCTGAAAATTAAAGCAATTACTTAGTATCAGAAACTGTTTACTGAAACATGCTATTTTCTTTGGGTAATGGAACAGAAAATCTATCATTCACTGTATATGACCAGCATATAAGCACCGCTTGTTGAAGATTAATAGTTGTTATTGTTTGCCACTAGAATCTCAGTCATGAAAAATAACTACAGAAAGAATGAATTTGGCATGATCAATTACAGCATTATTAATTTTAGTTCATACTTGAAGGGGTCACAAATACATATATGAGTAGTAGAAAACTTTTTGAACTGAATTATGCTATATTTTTCTCCAGATTATTTAAATGAGTGCTCTTTAACTCTCTTTGTGAGCAGCCATAATCTAGCCTTTCATTTCACCTTCAGGCTCTTGCTTTCCTGACTGATGGTACTGTCATTAAATTTCTTTTCCTTTTGTTGCTTTTAAATTGTTCTTTTTCATTCATTAACTAACTGTACATGAATATTCATTTTCCATATGAAAGTGTAATCACAGAAGTCTTAAAAACTGAAGTAACTGCACATTTGGCCACTCTGAGGACTGAAGCTGTCAGCTGAAATGTAACAGGCTGCTTTTGCCAAGTTTTCTGACTTACAAGTGAATAGGAGTATATGTGAAATTAAACAATATTTTTATATTTAGTGGTTTGTCAGTTTCTTCCAAAAAAAAGATAGCTAGCTGATGCAGCAGTCTAAATAGGAAAACATATTAGCAACGCATACTTCTGTTTTGAGCATTGTAGGCTCTGTCTGTCTTTTGGCAAAGCCTCAAGAATAACTACGAGCACAGCGGGTTCCCTGATTTTCCTGTCTTCTCACACACATGCTGGTGTACTAAATTACCTGGTGTACTAACTTTTCCAGTTTGCTATGCCTACGCTCAGTAAGCGTGGCTATAAAGCCAGCCTCCGGGACAGAACTACGTGTGTGCTCAGTTTCTCAAAACTGTCCTTTTCCGCAGTCTTAAGCGTCCTCCTACCTGAGGAGGAAGATTTTTCACCTGGCTGCAGGAAACAATTATTTTAGCCATGTCCCGTGGCCCTGCTCAGATCAGTGGTTCAGCATACGTGCGGTCTGCTTTTGTCACACAAGCTACACAGCTTATGTGCACAAACTCCTGTGAGGGCACCTCTCAAAAGCAAGCATTGTCTTTTGTCCAGTACTGCTCTCCCTGAGCTCCTTACGCTTGTCGCTGTTCCCAGTGGGAACCGAACTGGACGCACAAGGCTCCATTTTTGGTAGACGTTACCTGAAGTCTAGCAGCCTTGTGTAGCAAACATCAGTAACTTGCACCCATTTGAGAGCCTTTATATAAAGGCAGGCCCTGTTAGCAACCAAACAGGGATAGTCGGGGTAAGTAAGTAGCCCTTCACAGAGGGAACATAGACACATCACACAAATATATATACCCTTATTTTTCACTGTAATTTGTACTATATGTGGTCTGTGTATAGGAAGCTTCAAAACCTTGCAGTTGCTGGAGTTATTAATAAAACATAAGTCACTTTCCACAGCAATTTTATATGCAGAGAAAAAAAAAAAACCCAGTTTTTAGACATTCTAACATGTTAATGCCAAGTGTGAATAACTAGCATTTACCTCAAGAGCCTGAGCAGGGCAGGAAGTTGTATGCTTGTGTCCAAGCATAATGTTAGAATTAACATCTGTCAGAAAACAGCACTGAGGAATACAAAAACACGAATCAAAGAAACTGTAAAATACTGCAAGATTCGTTGAAACACGGGAGTGGAAACGGCCTTTCCCGGGCCAGTCCGATCAGCTCTCATGCACTGCACATATCCCGTTTTTAAGGCCCTTCCTAAAGTCTGTGATGGAGCTGGATAAAACAGCGGGGCTGGTGCTCTTGCTCTTTCGAGGGCTGTTTTGAAAGCTCGCCCCTCTGGCAGTTAGCAACTTTTGCCTCACTTCCGTCGAAAACGTACCCGAGGCCGGTTTATGCCCCCTTGTTCCCGCGCCAGCACTGCCCCTGAGTGTGACTCGCTGGCTCACCTCCTCTAGGGGGACACGGGCAGCACTCCTCCGGGCCGTCCTCAGCGGCCATTTAAACAGCCCTGACCACGGCCTGA